CACACACACACACACACACACACACACACACACACACACACACACACACACACACGATTATTCCCTAGAAAAGTAAGTTAATATTTTGCTTAGTTAAAATTTTAATAGGAAAATAACTACACAGCAGAGCACATGTATAGCACGTGCAATGTCCTGGATTTAATCTCTTGTATAAAAATAAACCAAAACAAAGTTTAACATTTCCAACCAATTTGAAAAGACTCGATCTCAAATTTATATCAAATAGCACACAATAAAAAGGAAATAAAATAGATTTTTAAAATCAACATACTTGGGCTGGGTAGAGCGCTTGCCTTGCATGCCTGAGGCCCTGGGTTCAATTTCTCAGCACCACATAAGCATAAAGAAAAAAGCCAGAAGTGGTGCTGTGGCCAAGTGGTAGAGCGCTAGCCTTGAGCTGAAGAGCTGAGGGACAGTGCCCAGGCCCAGAGTTCAGGCCCCATGACCGGACCCAAAAAAAAAAAAAAAGAACATAGTTTTGTTTTTGTGCAAATATAGGGGCTTGAACTGAGGGTCTGAGTGATGTCCCTTAACTTTTTCATTCATGGCCAGAGCTCTACCACTTGAAACACAGCTCTACTTCCAGCTTTTTGGTGATTAATAGGAGATAACACTCTTATAGACTGTCCTTTCTAGCCTGGTTTCAACTTTGGATCCTCAGATCTCAGACTCCTGAATAGCTCAGCAAAAAATGCCAACATGTTTCTAAGTCTTGAGTTTCCTAAAAAGACATTATGTTTCACCAATAAACGCTTAAAAGCCAACAGGAGTAACAACCGTAGTATAATATACTGCTACATAAATGGTAGAATATAGGCACTTGATTTTGGTTTTGGTTTTAAGCAGTTACAGGGCTTGAACTCTGGGCCTGAGCACTGTGCCTGAGCTCGTCAGCTCAAGGTGAGCACTCTACCACTTGAGCCACAGTGCCACTTCAAGAATTTAGACATTTGAGGGGGGAGGCTGGGAAGGGATGTGAAGGGTAAACAAAAGGAGGAGGCTGCAATGCTTGGTAAGAAATGTACGCATTATCCTGCCCATGTAATTGTAACCCCTCTGTACAGTATCTTCACAAATAAAATAAAATAAAAAAATAAAAAAGGAAAAAAAAAGAATTTAGACATTTGAACTGTAAAGAGAATTACTTCCTTCTTCCACCACAGAAAAATACATATAAGGGTTAACTTTATTTAAAATATATATAATCAGGATGATTCTAGAAACAATCCAGAATCATTCTAAATTACTATAGAATCCAAACAGTCTATATGACTATAGGAGGATTTGTAATTAGAATCTATGTGGCACAAGGATATACTGGCCTTCTGGGGGCTAGGAAGGTGGCTCAGTGGTAAAGCGCTTGCCTTGCATGCATGAGGCCCTGGGTTCGATTCCTTAGCACCACATAAGAAAAAAGAAAAAAGCCAGAAGTGGCGCTGTGGCTCAAGTGGTAGAGTGCTAGCCTTGAGCTGAAGAGCTGAGGGACAGCACCCAGGCCCAGAGTTCAGGCCCCAAGACTGGACCAAAAAGAAAAAAAAAGGATAGACTGGCCTTCAAAGCATTTATCACTCAAAAGGGAGATAAGGCAAACACAAATAACAAAAAGTAGTTTTTTATTAAAGAGGCAAAATGTATAGCAAAGAGAATCTTACTAAGGAGATCAAAGTGCTTCAGGAAGGCATTTGAGTTGGATCTTAAGAATAACTTGGAGCCACACTAAAGCTACCAGCACAACTATGTTCATTGAAGCCATTGAAGCATTATTTACCATAGGTAAGATATGAACCAACAGAGATGAATGGATCAAGAAATTGTGGTATATATACACAATGGAATTCCATGCTTCCATCAGAAAGAACAACATTGCCCCATTCATAAGGAAATGGAAAGACTTGGAAAAAATATTAAGTGAAGTAAGCCAGACCCAAAGAAAATGGTTTCCCTCATTTGTAATAATTAGTATATGTCTAGAATAGTTCTAGCAGAGGATCACAGTAGCTCAATAGCTATGAACATATGATCATATAAAATGATGCTAATTGAAATGAACTCCAAGATATGGAAACAAGAGGGTTTTGTTGTTGTTTTTAATGTACTGTGTGATGTTATTTCTTTCTTCTGTCATTTTTTTTTCCTTTGAATTACCCTCTGTTGTCACTGTTTTTTATTTTGGTGCCCTGTGTCTTGTATATACATTTATCTAAGTTGGGGAAGGAGAGGGAAATAACAAAATGGTAAAACAAAGGAAAAAGGGTGAACCAATGCAACAGTGATATTCACAAGACACTGTTGGAAATGAACTTTACAACCTGAGGGGGCGGGTAGGGGAGTAGGGTGAGAAAACGAGGGAATGGGTAACACTGATTGACAAGAAATATACTCATTACCTTATGTATGTAACTATAACCCCTCTGTACATCACCTTTATAATAAAATAAAAGTTTAAAAAAAGAATAGCTTGGAGATGCAGAGATGAAGAAAGAAAAGATCAAAAAGTTTAGTGGAGGCCATTTCTTGAATAGTTAGTCTTGGAAGGGAAGAAGTCAGACTTTATAGGGAAAATAATTATGAGTGAGACCAGGGCCCAACTATAACTCCATTTTAGAAAGATGAAGATAGCAGCACTTTACCATAAAGACTGAATAAGGGACAAAGTAGAGTTAAAAACACTTGTAAGAAGACAATGGCCATATTAAAGTAAGGGCCACATAGGAGTGTGGTGATGATGATAAAAAGGCAGGTGATTTGAGGATTATGAATTTCATCTGTAAGGTTTTCAAGTTATATGAGAATAATGAGAAATACTCAATGGGCTCAACAGGACTTTCTCAAGGTGTAGAGAGCTTCAGGCACACAACTAAGTTGTACATTTACCACAGTACATCAGCCTATCAACCTGGACAATATAGATGGCTTTACCAGAACTGTAGGATGCCCTAGCATGGTGTTTGGTAGTAAATGGCTTATTCCACTGTACCACTGATAGCACGTGTTCCCTCCCCCAAACTTCTCAGTCCATAGTCCTGTATCTCTAAGAGAAGAAAGAGGCTGCGTCATAAATGAAAGAATAGGGGAATCTAGGCTGTATAAAGAATTACCTCCATCTTTGGTCACTTAGAAAACATCAAAATCACAGCTTTACTGTTTTTTTTCTAAAAATTCCCATAAATTCTCTTTTAAAATTTCTTTCTTTCTTTTTCTTTTTGGGGGTCCGGTTGTGGGGCCTGAACGCTGGGCCAGGGCACTGTCCCTCAGCCTCTGGCAGAAAAGTCCATGAGATTTTTTTTCTCCAACTAACAAAAAGCCAGAAGTGGTAGAGTGCCAGCCTTCAGTGAATAAACCAAGCAAAAGTGAGAGGCCTTGAGTTAAAGGCTGAGTAGTGATGTGCATGCTCCTGTGCACACACACAAACACACACAATTCCCTTTATCCATCATAACAGCTGTGCTTAATTACAAAAAAATTTATTTTGTATGTAACACTTCACTAGTGTTTGGAAAGATATTGTTTTATTCTATATGCACAAATACTTTGCAAAATTTATAATTAATAAGAAAACCCGTTTTGTGAACTATTCTGCTGGAAGACTCCCCAGAATCAACTTAGTTTACATTTCAGAGCATAACCTTACCAGTAGCTTTTGAAGTTGATCATCCAAATTTCCAGATTCCTGACTGAACTGATCCCTTTCAGTACGAGCTTCAGTGAGCTCTGAGTTGGCAAGGACTAACTGCTTCTCCAGCTCTTCTATCTGAAAGACAAGCACAAATCAAATGGAGCGTATGGGGGCTGGGAAGGTGGCTCAGTGGTAAAGCGCTGGCCTTGCATGCATGAGGCCCTAGGTTTGATTCCTCAGCACCACATAAGCAAAAAGAAAAAAGCCGGAAGTGGTGCTGTGGCTCCAGTGGTAGAGCGCTAGCCTTGAGCTGAAGAGCTGAGGGACAGCGCCCAGGCCCAGAGTTCAGGCCCCACGACCAGACCCTTCCTCCCCCCCCCAAAAAAAGTGGAGCGTATGTCAGTGGATCATAAAAAATAAGTAGTTTTTGGAAAATGGCATTGAGTGATAAAAATAATTATGATATGTTTTGCAAAGTTTTCTGAACTTAAGAGCTATGTAGAAGGTAGCTGGAGAAATTAGCCAGATGCAAAACTTAGTATTGATTTGGGCTCTGTCTGTATATGGGCACTTGTGTTTAGATTAACTACAGTTCAAGGGGCTGGGAAGGTGGCTCAGTGGTAGAGCACTTGCCTTGCATGCATGAGGCCCTGGGTTCAATTCCCTAGCACCACATAAGCAAAAAGAAAAAAGGCGGAAGTGGTGCTGTGGCTCAAGTGGTAGAGTGCTAGCCTTGAGCTGAAGAGCTGAGGGACAGCGCCCAGGCCCAGAGTTCAGGCCCCACAACCGGACCCAAAAAAAAAAAAAAAAAAACTACAGTTCAAGATTCAAGTATCTGTAAAGATATACTCTATAATTTGGTATTTTAAAGAAGCTTGTTGTGGCATAAATATGGTTCAGACCCTACATGAATAAATTTCATTATAATTATTTTATAATATGAGGTTCAATAATAAAATACACTGAATATAAAAGAATCAATTATAGCTACTGTCATCATATAGTATTTTCAAAGGATGAGTGAATATAGGTATTTTTAATTTATAATTGGACAACATATAGTTGGACAATTTATTCATTCTGATTGTCTTCAGTTGTAAATAGGAATAAGAGACCGACTTTAAGAATTGTTCCAAGTGTATTTTTCTCTAACAGATAGAATGTCTGTTTGATATGTTTGGAGAGAAAAAAATATTCTACTTAACCACTGATAACATCACACAAAAGGATTGGTATTTTCTTTCCTAAAGTCAAAGCCTGTTGTACCTCTACAGGAGGAGAGAGACTATCTCCCTGTTGACAGTATTTAAACAGCCTTCAACTCTAGGAGTAGTGCAGGCTGAGTTAAGAGAATTTCAATTATGCCTACTCACTTTTGGATTTTAACGGAGCCACATAATAAAAGGCCTTGTGAAATATTAAGAGACTATATTAATACTTGGTTTATATAATAATACCTGATCTGTGATATCTACTATATGGTAGATATTATTATTCATTTTCCAGGAATAAGAAATTTTAAATGATGTATTTATTACTTCTTTTAAGGTATCTATTTAACATGCTTCCAAATGTATTTAAAAAACAAAATTCTGAATCAAGCACTGGTAGTTCATCCTTACAATCCTAGCTATTGAGGAGACTGAGATCTGAGAATCACTTTGAAGCCTGCCCAAGCAGGGAAAGTCCATCAAGTGGAGCTATGGCTCAAGTAATAGAGCTCTAGCTTCAGTGGAAAAGCTAAGGGACAGTGGTCAAGCCCAGAGTTCCAGTGCCAGTAGTGATATAAGAAAGTAATAAAATAGGTCTGGGAAGGTGGCTCAGTGGTAGAGTGCTTGCCTTGCATGCCTGAGGCCCTGGGTTCAATTTCTCAGCACCACATAAGCAAAAAGAAAAAAGCCGGAAGTGGTGCTATGGTTCAAGTGGTTGAGCTAAAGAGCTGAGGGACAGCGTCCAGGCCCAGAGTTCAGGCCCTATGACCGGACCCCCCCCCAAAAGTAATAATAATAAGGAACTAGGGAGGATGACTCAGTGGTAGACTATTTGCCTCACAGTCAGGTGTTGAGCTCCATCCCTAGTATCAAAAGAGAAAAAAAGTTTTGGGTCATATACTATGATCAAATCTTTGTTGTTGCAGGTAATAAAGCTTGAACTCAGGGCTTTGTGCTTGTTTTTACTGGCACTCTACTACTTGAACCACTGATCCATTCATGCTTTCTTGCTGGTTATTTTAGAGATGGAGTCTTGTAAAGTGGCTTTAATTTGAAATCCTCCAAATCTCAGACTCTTGAGTAGCCAGGATTACAGACTGAGGTCCTGGCACCTAGCTAAATGCTTTTAACAGAAAAACATGACCAAGACAAACATGTACTTCATGACTTTTTAGTTTATTTTTATTTGAACTAATTCACTTAAAAATCTTCATTTGTTAATTCAGCATATAATTCAACATAATAAAGCTATCACACACACATATATAAAACTACTTCTGATAGATGATGAACATAAATATATATGTGTATATATATATATATATTACACAGATATACATTACTTGAAGTACTAACAGAGCTAGCAAACAGTTTTAAATTTACCTATAATGTAGTATCAAGTCCAAGTGGATCAAGATAGAGACTTTAATTTATACTGGATATGTCTTTCAACCAACTTTGTATTTGATTATGTTATATATAAGTAGGGAGAAGTAGGTACAAAAACTATTCATTACTAATTACATTTGATTGGGTAGTATATACTAAAGTATTTCATAAGAATTGAGCACATATACTATATGTGCTGCCAAAAAGAGCACAGAATTGCGTACATATAAAATGATAGACAGGGGCTGGGAAGGTGGCTCAGTGGTAGAGTGCTTGCCTTGCATGCATGAGGCCCTGGGTTCGATTCCTCAGCACCACATAAACAAAAAGAAAAAAGCTGGAAGTGGTGCTGTGGCTCAAGTGGTAGAGCACTAGCCTTGAGCTGTAGAGCTGAGGGACAGTGCCCAGGCCCAGAGTTCAG